CTCTGATCTGCGGACCATAAAGGTCGAATAACAGCGACAAAAGCTGCTTTGTTAATAGCCCGTGTCTTCCCTGTGCTCGCATGCTCAGGAAATCGCAGGTGAAAGATTGGAAAAGGGGGGAAATGCCTTAAAAAAAAACGCCAAAAGCATCTTTATACGTCAATCCATATCGTGTACGTGAATCCATATAAAACATCATGAATACAGAGTATTGTATTGTATCGCAATGCAGGACGCATATGGCGTTTGTCATGTATAGCCAAAGAACCCGCATGCCTGTGTTGATCATGGCGGGGGGAGGGGTGTTTGACCATATTTCACCACACGCCAAATTCGGGCTACGAGGTTCGTGGCGCGGTTTTGCCCCCCCCCCCCCCCCCCCAAGCTCATTGTCAACCGCTCGCAAATGCCTCGGTCACTTACATTGTTTAAGGAGGAATTCCACGTTTCATTTAAACGGTTCGCGATGAACGCGCTACCTTATCTGGCCTCGTGTGGCATGTTCCCTGAGGGGCGGGGTGGGGGAGGAGAGAAATTAAGGCAAAAAATATTTCGGGCCAATATTTTGGTAGGAACACATCTAAACAAGGACCATGACCTTTCAGTAATTTGTTATTTTTTCTTTACAGTGAAACTTCTCTTATCTGTGTTGAAGTTGGGGGCGCTCTTATGAGGGAGTGGGGGAGAGCATGATAAGGAAAATTACAAGAGGAGGAATTATAATTTCATTCTCATATCGTGGGTAACAGGATGACTTTGTCCACGTGACTGCCCTTATCTACAAAAAAAGCACAACTCATAGGAATCATACAAATATGCTCCTCTGGGTTTTCCCTCCACATTTAGAAACGTGCGTGTAGATGATTTTGATAATGTCGCCGCGGGAACTTTCTACGTGATAAGCCACTTCGTTATGCTACCATTTATAGCCAAATCGCTTCTGAAAAGTAGGCTAATAGCTCAGTGGGCCTTACCTGGTAAAATAAAAAATTGTTTAGGTATTTTTTTAGTGTCATTTGCTTATCTTTCCTATACTTTTCACTCCTGTCGTGTTGCTGTAGTGTTTGTTGTCGTCACGTTCTGAGCCGCCCCTACGAGACATGTGCGAGAGAGAGCTTGAAAGCTCACCGGAACACCTTCAGTATGAATCTTGACTTAAAGCTTTCGTGACTGCAGGAATTCATATTCTTTGGGTCTTTCGGTAAAGTCACGTAGATTAAAAAAACATAACAACAATAAAATAATAAAAATTAAAATAAAGTGAATAAAAAATAATAATAAATTATATTTATATTTTTGTTCACTTTATTTAATTTTTTTATTGTTCTATATTTTTTCTATCTAAGTGACTTTACCAAAACACCCAAAAAATACCTTCAGTGTAAATAAATAATCTGATTCTATTTATTGGTTAGCACACTGAACTTCTAATTTCCAGAAGTCGCCGGTTTGATACCATCTCCCGGCTCAGCAGTTGCAGCAATGACTCAAGTGTGTCACATGGTCCCACCTCTCGCTGCCCACTCAGCAGCGTGGTTGGGTTTCCCACAGCTGAGCTCGTCTATCGATGGTGGATGAAACTGTGGATGCCGCCCACTTATTCCAACATGTATGCTCAATGTGGAAGAGTAGACCAAATACAACTTTAGAGTGCCTTGCTGATTTCGTCACACGAACTCTGGTCATCCGGCGGCTTTTGGCTAGCCAGTTGAACAAAGATGGGTCACTGCATCGCACACGCTCAGATGTGCTTCTGTGGCCGTCTGGAACGCTCTTCACTCCGACATGCGGAAGACGTTGGAGCTATGCACATTTAAATCTATATTGAAACTTACTTCTTTAAAACTGCTTTCTGTGTTTAGTTCGTTGTCCTTCCCCCGCACCTCCAATAATCGCAGTTGGCTACGTACGGTGCGAGAGAAGTTCAACATACATACGTGCCCGCTCAGTGGAGGGATGCCTTTCCGCCAGCAGTGCCGTGGGAAAGAAATTGCAGGGATACACCTTTATCCCTTTTTTTTGTTACCGGTGTGTGTTAAAGAGGCGTAAACGCGAGCACAGTGGAGCTCAGGATTTGATTTATTAATTCAGTGCCCATCCCAAACATTTGACGGTGAATTCTCTCAACATCAAAACATTTCCGGAATTTAGAAGATATCCATGGGGGTTTGTGTCCGATCGATTTGGACAATCCCATAGTTATGTAAGGCAGCTCTTCTATATATTTGTATTACTGTTGTGTATGTATCACATTGAGGTTAATGAATAATAGCGAGAGCATGTGTGCGTTGGCTTGTATTCATGCTGTAACGATGATTGATCAATTACAGGTAGATTGTTACGCGTCGTATTGTGTGTGTAAGAAATGGAAAATTATTTCTAAAAAGTACGTCCTACGCGGAAACGGAGCGATGAAATCAGCTCGTGTGCAGCAGCTTGATGGATTATTATTTCGCCAGATCGTGAGATAGCAACGGCTGGGAGAGCCGTTAATCCAGATGTGGATAGATCATGTCTGATGATCATAATAATTCCTCGTATGTAATTGGCGCAGTTGAAACGAGGCCACTAAATTAACCACAACCGATTATCGGATTGAATCGTGAGGATGATAAATTGCTATGCTGACTCCACACAACGTGCGTACACTATATGAGTCTTGTGCAGATTCACGGGTAATGCGACGCTTCTGCCGATGGTTATGGATGGGAGGTGATGTGTTGGTGGGAGGTGGGAGGTGGAGTGGGAAGGGAAGAGTGAAATATTATAAAGGGTGACAAGAGATGGCGAAAGAATGAAGGAGTGGTAGCAGTGCCGGATTAAGCTAGTGCGGGGTCTGTAGCATATGTTATAAAGGGGACCCAAATAAAAAAAATATTAAAACACAATTTTTTTACTTGCATAGTAAAGTAATTGTATTTTTTCATTTGCTATACAGCCAGATAATCGCTAACCCAAAACACCCAGTCGTTCATAAAAGTTAAAGGCAGTATAGTTATATTGTAATAGAGCAAGTGCAGAATCACTGAACCGGAATTTATAATTTGAAAGCATTTAGCGTAGGGCCCAATGAAAGTGCGTGGCCCGTATCATATGCTACTTTTGCTACTAGGATAATCCGGCACTGAGTGGTAGGGCGTAAACTGGTAGCTGCTCTTAAATGTATAAATTGTTCATTAATCTGCACGAATATTCCATGACGAGTAGTCATTGTTGTTCCTGAAAGCAGCCGCGGTGTCGTAAGCATTGGAGAGAGAAGGCCGTAACTTAATTTTCAAAGAATATTTGCCAGTGTGTCAGCGAATGTGTCAGCCCTGCTGTTTTTAAAGCAACAGAAATGTATATAATTAGTGAGACTTTGGGCCTTGTTTCATATCGAACTCTGACAATGCAGTATGCCACTGTACCGTATATAGAATTAACATACTCTTACACATTTAATGGTGAAATTTGTGCAATGCATTTTTTCATTCGCATGATTCTTCTTGTATTTAATGCGTTACCTTTTAAATATTATTTCTGACCGTGTGAGTTTCATTGATTTGTTTGCAACAATAAAACGGCGTGCTAGAATAACTCTCAAGGTTAAACACGAATATAGCAAATCACGTCTTATGAAAGGACTGCATTGACATGTGTTACTTTAGAACCATCGTATCTTGATTGCTGGCATGAGGGGCAGATGTGCTCTGAAGAAGGATCATTTCCCGACATCGCCACGTATTGTATAGTTCTCCTTTTAAGGCCACAATATATAACGACGAACGTGTTGAGTCGTAATTATTGTTTTCATCAGATTTCTATGTGGCCAATAGTTGACTCCATGGAAGCGATACGCCGTCTGAATATCCTGACCGTTACGTGGTAGCTTCTAAAGTTGCAACCATTTGAAGACTCGTGGCGGGCGTCATGTTCAGTGAACTGTAGTGTAAGAACATTCAAGCAATCTTCATTCACACTTGACGTGCATCAATATAATGTATTAATATTTCACCCGTACCTACAATTAGCACAATTGGCTACGTACGATGGGAAAAGAAGATCAACATAGATGCGTATTAACAAAGCACAAAATCGAGATGATAAAAATGTGAAATTCTATTACGAAGTCAAGGGAGAATAACATTGTATCACTATCATGATCATATCGTGAAAATTATTTTTGCATCATATCTTATCTTGGAAAGTGAAATCGCTGCAACTCTAGTCTAAAACAACAAATATACTGTCCGTTGTCTTGTGCTTTAAAATAATCAAACTTTGGTTTTGATTTTGGGAGGATATTAGTTCTGAACTATTCACGTGGACTTTGTTAACTGCTGTCATGTTGAGGGTGTCTCTGCGATGACAGTTTACGTACAAAGCAATAGTGTATCATTAAAGAATTATACCACGACATAATTAAGAAATTACACCGTGGCACCCCTACTTAACGGCGGATCTATCGTGCGTGCCCCACGTGTGTGTGTGCGCGTGTGTGTGTGCGCGTGTGTGCGCGTGTGTGCGCGTGTGTATGCGCGTGTGTGTGTGCGCGTGTGTGCGCGTGCGTGTGTGCGCGTGCGTGTATGCGCGTGTGTGCGCGTGCGTGTGTGCGTGTGTGTATGCGTGTGCGCGTGTGTGTATGCGTGTGCGCGTGTGTGTATGCGTGTGTTTGTGTGTGCGCGTGTGTGTGTGTATGCGTGTGTTTGTGTGTGCGCGTGTGTGTGTATGCGCGTGTATGTGTGTGTGTATGCGTGTGTGCGCGTGTGCGCCGCAGCGGTAGTTGAGCGGTTAGCGCTGCGCTACGAACCGGCCGATCCGAGTTCGATTCCCGCTCACGCACACCAACACCAGTGACGATGACCCGAACCGAGCCTGGTCCTCCCCTAGGTCGACTCAGCCTCAAATGAGTACCCGGTGCGGTGTAAAAAAAAAAACACATCCACACTGAGGGAGACAAAGGCGGCCGGCCGTGGCGTCATCCTCTAACACCCCCCCCCCCCCACCCCCTTGTGCCACAGTGGAGAAGGATGGCGAGTTCCCACCGGAGAGACGGCACCACAAGCAGTTCCGCTTCGACCTGTCACGCATCCCCGGCGGCGAGGCCGTCACCGCGGCAGAGTTCCGCATCTACAAGGAGCGCGCGTCGCTGCGCCACGACAACGAGACGTTCCGAGTCGCCGTCTACCAGATCCTGCGGGACCGGTGAGTGCGCGGGTTCCCTTCCCCCGGGGGACTGGAGCCCTCTCCCCACACCCCCTTACTCAACCACCAATCTGACGCCACCGCCTCGCTAAAGCCACCACCACCACCCGACACAGCCAATTAGGTAAGGGTTGTCACGGCACGTTCATATTTACGTGATCTAACCCCCAAAAAACTTTTTTTTATGGGCTCCCGTCTCTCCCTGCTCTTCTTTTCTCTCTACCCTCACGTGTGTTGAACTTCTTTTGCACCGTACGTAAACAACCGCGCTAATCAGAGGTGCGGCGAACGACGACAAACCAAAGACTAAAAGCAGTGCTAAACAAATTGGTTTGCAATCTAGAAGATTTAAAAGCGGAGAGCTCCAGTGGCTTCCTAATATCGGAAGGAAGAACGTTCCAGACGGCCGCAGAAGCGCATCTGAAAGCGCGTCTTCGTCCGATGGTTAGTCAGAAGCTGCTTGTGCGAGGATGACCGGAGTTTGCGTGATGGTTGATGCTCCTTACCACGATATATATATGATACGGTAATCAATTTCCCGACAATCATTAAATCTGGGCGGTCGGTGGTGGCTATTGCTGCGCACGTGTCTTGCCTGCAATCCCGCACTGTGGGGGCAGCAGCGAGGAGGGTTGGTGAATCACAGCACAGACGCTGTGAAACTCCCTTCCCCGTGGGTGGGCGTTGTCCTGGCTCGCCAGGAGAATGCAGCACAGCAAAAAATGCGGACTCCACCTGTTCTGTCTGTATGGGATAGAGCGTTTCCCCCACACACACGCGTGAGAATTCCCCGGGGTGCTCTGGATTTCTCCCACATGTAAACACTCCAGAATTGGGGCGGCCAACTGAACCTTGGCATAGGAATGTGGAATTTTCACCACTAGCTTAGGAGTGTACATTCTATTCTTGTGTATGGAAATATGTTTAGGAGCTAATTACCAATGTCAAGGTGTGCTCGCCATGAGAGCGCTCCAGGAGAGTTCGTGTAGTTTTGCCATTCCTCCTCATTTGAAGAGGTGCGGACCACAGTTGTTTATTATATGGTCGATAGTTTTGGTTGCATGGACACAATTGCACAACTGTGGCTTGTCTCTATTGTATAGTACGTCTCTATGAGTCTCTGTGTTACATGTATGTTGAACTTCTTTCGCACCGTACATAGCCAACAGTGCTAATCAGAGGTGCGGGGAGTGTGTCTCTCTATCGGTCTCTACGTGTCGCTTTGTATCTCGACTTATGCCCGTGGGTTTACGATATTGTCCACAGTTTGCACGGCCACAATCGCACTGCTGTGGCTGCGCCTTTGATTTTCAATTCGTGAAGCAGATACGCTGCAGAGGTCGCAAACGGGTTTTGATTCCTTACCCGTACCCGTACCCGGCCGCACCAGGGTCGCAAACCCGGACGGGTACCCGTTCCCTACCCGTACCCGTACCCGTACCCTACCCGAAATGAGTGACAAACGGTACGGGTAGCCGGGTATCGGGTAGGGTACGGGTATCGGATACCCGGTTGTGACCTCTGATACGCGGGCATCAGCCTGCTGATGTTTTGATGCGGCCGATGGTCCACACCGGCGTCTCCCAGGAGGAATGTCGAAGCCGGGAGGCTGTGATGTCTGGGTCTCGTGTGAGCCGTCGATTGTGGAAGGGCTGCGAAAAGGAGATCGAGTGCCGGCACCTACTCGTTTGACGACAAACGTCACAACCGACGTGTAGAATAATTGCACAGCCATGGGCCATTACGTGCATCTAAGTACCTCTTGCCTCGACTCATAATTGCAGGGCATAATTGCACGCATTTGCTACTGTTCATGCGCGTCGACCATTAAAGCAGGTGTCCCAATACAACGCGTTGCTTGTTTGTGACCAGTCCCAGGGCTCCCTGAGGGGTTTCCAAGCCGTTTACAGTCGAGAAGAACTCCTCGGAGACGGAGACAAATGAAGGACTTATCAAAACAGAGCGTGGCTCGGCTGCTTTGTTAAATATATTTACTCAGCGTAGGCCAATTTAACGGTAATTTTTGCGATAATTTCTTGGCACGACTCGAGGGCGCTTTCAAGAGAACTGTTTGCTGTGAGGTTCGCGCGTGGCACGACGTGGCACGAAGCGGCTATCGGTTGTCCGTCAGGCTCGCGGGAGTACTCACTCAGTCCCCCTTATATCCGTATAATAGCCGCGTTGATGCCAACTGTTCTCCATCATCACAATGAACATTTTCCAATACGTTAGAACCCCTGCTAACGACCACCCCTGTTAACGACGAATCGCTTAACGCCGGGCCTCCGTAGAGCCCAATGTGTAGTGTATAGTGTAGTGTATAGTAGTTTAGTGTCTAGTGTAGTGTATAGTAGTGTAGTGTATAGTGTATTGTATAGTAGTGTAAAGTAGAACCCCTGCTAACGATCACCCCTGTTAACGACGAATCGCTTAACGCCTCCATACAGTACAATGTGTTCGCTTGCCGACCATTCCCCTGTTAACGACGTACTGTTGTAGGTACAGTAAATATTCATTAATGCATTCATTAACCATGTTTCTTTTAATATTATGTGCTTATAATGTGGTTAGTATTTTTACGTATTAACGTAACTTCTTTTATATTATAAAGTACTTTTTCGGGGTGAAAAAGGATACATTTCGATGCTATCGGAACGCATTAAGCCATGGACGTGTGTTTCCTATACTCGCTTAACAACCAAATCGATTAACGACCGGTTTCGTGGAACCAATTGCCGTCATTAAGAGGTGTTCTACTGTAGTTCCTCTCCAAATTCCGGGCCAATCTAATACAGGGACTCCTCTACTCACGAACATTCGACTTACGAACTTTCAGAGATCTACGAACAAATCTGTCCGTATGTCCAGTTGCCCGTTCGGACCGAGAGTCGTAAGTTCAACCGCCGCGCAATAGATGCTGGCGTTTGTTCAGTGTTATTACCCAGCGTTCCCAGCATTTCCTGCCTGGGCCGCCGCCATTGTCTGTTGTTATTTAGTGTACACGCCGTACAACACGTTTGGAATCGACAGGAGTATTGTTGGACGTAACGAACAAATCGACTTACGAACAGACCTCCGGAACCTAACTCGTTCGTAAGTTGAGGAGTCTCCGTAATTTGTGAAGACAGCGTTTCACGCAATGGGGCGATGGAGCTGCCCAGAGGAAGGATGCTTTGCCTGTTTGTTTCTTTTCCTCTTTAGCCCCCCCCCCACATCCCTCATCGAGTAAATTACACTTTAAATCAACAACCTCCGTCCCATCGTCATCTGCGCACGCGTGTTTACACGTAGATCACGTTCCCCTTTTGCTCGAAACGCGCCGTAATTATAATACTTTCATTTTATATAGCGCCATTCATGCCAACAGCATCCCACAATGCTGTACAGGTATTATATATGAGGACCAAATCCCATACACGCCGTTGGCTACGTACGACGCGAAAGAAGCCACACACACGTGCCAAGCAAATGAAAACCCTACTACCAAGCAAAATAAAATATAAACTAATTAATAAATGGCATCAAAAACACATCATCTAGTTTGCTTCTAGTTTTATCGAACCTTCTCGTTGTCTGCGTGTTAACGAAATTGTGGCTTGCATTGTATTTGAGACGAAAACACACGGGTTGTGTAATTTGGTCACCCTATCGCCAGCCTGTGGTCTGCCCCGACTCCTCTCGCTTTGAGGCCCCTTGGAAGAACTGCGCCCCGACAGTGATCGTGGTGAGCCCTCCTGTCTCTCTCTGTGTGTGACTGTGATCGTGATGAGCTCTGCTCTCTCTGCGTGGCTGTTATCGTGATGAGCCCTGCTCTCTCTGCGTGCGTGGCTGTGATCGTGATGAGGCCTCCTGTCTCTCTCTCTGCGTGGCTGTGATCGTGGCTGTGATCGTGGTGAGCGCTGGTCTCTCTGCGTGGCTGTGATCGTGATGAGCTCTGCTCTCTCTCTCTGTGCGTGACTGGGATCGTGACGAGACCTATTATCTCTCTCTGCGTGGCCTGTGTCATCGTCTACGTTGTGTTTATTTGTTAGCAGTGGTTTTCTTTTCTTTTTTTCATGAGAACCTACGAGAAATTAGTCAGATAATTTGAACAATTGGCAAAGTTGTGTTTTGATACCGGCGACCGTAAAGTTGACGATTTACGTTTTTCCCGGAAATTTTCTCGAAAAAACCCAAACAACTATTGTGAATTGGCGAGAAATCCATTTCACGACATCTTCTCTTTATTTATCCAGGAAATCCTCACCGAATCCGAAAAGCAATTTTTAGTGAGGGTGCTGCATTGAGATATTTTGCCAATTCCACGAACGAATGTTTGACTCCATACTCTCTGGTTCTTTCGGTAAAGTCACGTAAGTATAAAATAAAATAATCACGACGTTTCGGGCGCACACACAAGCGTCCGTCATCAGGTGGGAAAGCTTGTGTTGCGCCCGAAACGTCGTGATTTCTTTTATTTTTATACCTACGTGACTTTACCGAAAGAACCAAAAAGTATGGATTCCTGCAGTCACGAAAGCGTCAAATCAAGATTGAATGTTTGACTCGTTGAAGAAAACTGGAGTGACCAGAGAAAATGCATAATGCATTACAAGGGGCTAACCTTTGCGCAGATATATTTAAGAATCCATCGTTGTACCACCATGTCCTATCTACCTTACAGCCCACACCTCAAACACCTGGCATTCCCAGGCAGGCTTGCACCCGAGTACTAGCCAGCATTTCGCTTAGCTTCCAAGATATGACAAGATTGGGTGCATTCTTGACTTAAAGCGTTCGTGACTGCAGGAATTCATGTTCTTTGGGTCTTTCGGTAAAGGCACTTAAGTAGGTTCGAAGAAAACAACACAAAATTTACGACGTTTCATTCGCAACACAAGCGGTCGTCATCAGGAAGAAAAAACTACCGCTTGTGTTGCGATCGAAACGTCGTAGATTGTCTTGTTATTTTATTTGAACCTGTCTATGTGACTTTACCGAAAGACCCAAAGAATGTTGGGTGCGTTCTTGGTGATTTCTTCACGGCTTTGGCATTGTGAAATGCACTTGCACATTTGAGTAACAGTGCCGACACAACCAAATTAATTTAATCTGCACGTTCCAGCCATCAAAACAAACCTGTTGAACTGGACTCGTGGCATGGCAAGAACCTATTATACGTTCCAAAAACCAATATGTTTGACAGTGATCTTGCTTGTGCACTCTGCATATACACGAGTGTATAATAATAGTAATACTAATGTACATGATTTACCCACAAAATCCTCCGCGAGTCTCAAGACTCACATTTATAGAGACGCCTTGATCTTGTATTTGGCTATTGTATTTATCTGGGAGGAAAACTGGATGTACCCAGAGAAACCCAACGCAGTGTAAGGGGATGACACGCATAGCTTTTGCACAGATAGATTCAGTAGACGGATTAACTCGATCCATTAGTAATACAGGTATTTTTTTGGTTAGAACGCGTAAATATATAAACGTGTCGTTAAACCCGCCACCACCCGACACAGCCAATTGGTAAGGTTTGTCACGTCAACAGAACGTGCCAATTCGTTTCTAGTACAGCACACCGGTGTGTTAGAGAGCCAAGCCACAACATTTACACGATCTAACACAAAAAAAACTGTATTATGGATGATATTGGTCGCAAAAGCCTACGTGTTAAATCGATCCATGAGGTGGACTAATTCTGTGGGCCGCACCCATTGCCGTATTACCATCTGCTGGAACGTCATGTTCCCTGCAGCCTCTATGCCTACGGCTGCTATGCACAAGTGGTCACCCCTGCTGAGCTTCTGAGACACAATGAGACCTGGAAACTCTCTAACGAATTCGATACGACGGATGTCATTTAGAGAGAGCTGTACCGGTGGACCATGAGCATCTTAATTTTAACAAGTGGGCTTGCAAAATAATAATAATAAAATCAACCACAACCGACAGCCAACTCAAATTGGTGCAATGTTAAAAGATTGAAAAAAAAGGAATGTCCCATAATCAATGTTCATGCACCTGTTTGCCTTGCAGCATCCATTATTAAGTCACACATGTTGGCAATTACATGTGGAACGTACCATGTATGTTTGTGTATAGGGGTATTTTGTTTTTGGGTTATGCCAACTGGCTGAACCTGCCTGCATTGACCAGGATATCTCCGCGTGGCCTAGGGCTTGCTTTTCTTTGCCTCCGCACAGTGCTTCACCGTGCACATTTCTTTTGGGGCCCTATTTTAACCAGTATCAAACTGATAAGAGAACAAAAAGGTTAAAGCCTATAGTTTTTTTTCCCCCATTAAATTCCTATGTTAACAATAAATATGGATTTAGTCGCATGACAGTCTAAAATAAGATAGGTCAGCGGTGCCCTATACTCGAACAGGAGTTTGCTTGTGTTAATCTCGCAGTGCGTTGTCTGTGCATTGTTGACATTTTATCAAAATGTGTTGTCTATGCCGCGTCATAGTGTTGTCTATACAATCCCATCGTGTGTTTTGTTTATGCAGTGTTAACATTTTCACATGCACACATATATATATAACAGTATTTATTGATTACTCTCGGTAGTTCTAAGACAATGGTGGAAATTCCACGTAACTATGGCGGTTCATATAAAATGATCACGATTAATTATCACGAAAACGGTTCACCCTTCCACTGGACACTGCTCACGTGGGGAACACTGCCATCATTTGCCATCCCAGGTTGTGCCAACCGACCCCTGCTCATGGAGCTATCAGAAAACAGATAGTAGTTTGGATTTGTGCTGAAGACATCGCACACAATTCACACCAGCGTCACCATAGATTTGGCTGCACTACATTTCCAAGTGATAAGCCACTTTGCTGAGCTATCGTTTGTGGCCAGGCCGCATCTGAAAAAGAGCAATAGAGCTCAGTGGGTCTTACCTGCTAAAATAACAACATATAGTTAATAGTTAAAATAGCAATATAACCTTCATATTCAATACCACAAACTTGACATCTGCAAAGATCACCTTTGGACACTTTTACAGTGGCCAGGTGACCCACCGGTAGATCGAGCAGCTCGCGATCGGAAGGTCATGAGTTCAAATCCCGGTTGGGGTTGACTCGGCACATCATCCCTCTCGGTTCGATAAAATGACATTTGACCGAATGCTATAAATGAGTCACAACCTTTTGGCACTCCACCACTGCCCCTCCCGTGAAGGTTTCCTGGCTTGAATCTCGACTTAAAGCGTTCGTGACTGCAGGAATTCATATTCTCTGGGTCTTTCGGTAAAGTCACGTAGATAGGTTCAAAGAAAATAACAAAATACTGCGACGTTTTGATCGCAACACAAAACGTCGTAGTTTTTTGTTATTTTCTTTGAACCTATCCTACGTGACTTTACCGAAAGACCCAAAGAATATGGTTTCTTACCTTAGTTGAGAAGTTGGGACTGTGGTCTGGGATTTTGTTGTTGTGGAGTTCGTGGACTCAATTCTTTGTTGTGATCACTTTTGTTGTTGCTAGCGCTTTATGTTTTGGTGCCATTTCTTTTTTTTTTTAAATGTTATATTTTTATTGGTGGTGGTATGGTTTTCATTTGCATGGTAGTGGCTGCATATGGGATTTGGTCCTTATATATTATTAATGTACAACGTCATGGGATACATTTCTTTAAAAACTGCTTTTTAGAGTGTTGTTGTCCTTCCACCGCACGTCCGATTAGCACGGTTGGTTTCGTACGGTGCAAAATAAGTTCATACATATATACAATTAGCATGAATTACACAACTGTTTGACTGTATTCATAAACAGGTGAGAGCCCATTGGGACAAATTGTCTCTTATCCCATTGGACAAACATTCGATCCCGTGAAGTAAGATCGATATCGCATTGTAATTGTGTTTCAATTTAAAATCTATGTTTTTTTACGTGTGTATATGTAGAGTATATGTGTGTGTGCAGAATGGTAGTGAAGTGGTTAGCGCATTGCACTACGAACCCGGCAACCCGAGTTTGCCTCCTGCTCGCAAACAATAACGGTGGCGAATATTTAAACTGGTCCTGGGACTCCCCTAGGTCGACCTAGCCTTTAAAAACAATACCTTGTGCGGTGTTTAAGTATCCGCACTCGGATGACAAAGTTGACCAGGCATGGTGTTGGCCACCGACCCCCTTGTGTGCCGTGCCTGCCTTCATTGGTGTTCACTAACAGCCCTTGCCCCAACAGTTTGTTTAGGGCTACACGGGGGATCTTTTTCTTTATATATTAATGCAGGGAGTGGTAGAGTGGTGGTTAGTGGACCACGCGACGAACTTAAATTTGATTTCGGCTCACGGCCAATATCAGTCACAAATACCTGGACAGTTCTTGGACCTCCCCTAGGTCTACTCAGCCTTAACGAGTACCTTCTGTAGTGTGTAAGCATCAAGCACTGGCGAGACAAAGGCGGCCGGACGTGGTGCTTACCAAACCCATCTCTCGGGCACCCTGCCACCCCTTCATAGGCGCTCGCCAAGAGCACTTTGCCCCAGCAGCCTATTGAAGGCTATACGGGGGACCTTTGCCTTTGTGTGATTACTTTCACCCGCTCTGCTTTGCGTGGACAGGCAGTCGGACTTGTTTCAGCTCGACAGCCGCGTGGTGTGGGCGACGGAGGAGAGCTGGCTGGTGTTCGACATCACGGCCACGTCCAACCTGTGGCTCATGAGCCCCAAACAAAACCTGGGCTTACAGCTGCGAGTGGAGACGATGAGCGGTAAGGCAGGAAACACGCAGTCTCGTTTTACCGATGGGGAACCTACCCAGCAGCCACTCGTTCGTTCGTTCGCTCGCTCACACGCCACGTGTTTGTCCAAGACGCAGTTTGCCACGGCGGCTATAAGATGCTAACTCCCTCGCCTGGTATGCAGGAGGATGTGGGGTCGATCCCGACCCTGGTGTCTGCACATTTGGAGTTTGCGTGTTCTCCCCATGGTCGCGTGTATTTTTCTCTGGGTCTTCCGTTTTTTTTTTTCCACATTTAAAATCATCGTGCATTTAGAGTATATGGCTACTATGAATTTCCACGTGATAAGCCACTTCGTTGAGCTATCATTTGTGGCCAGGTCGCTTCTGAAAAAGAGCTATATAGAATATAGTTTAGTTCAATGTTCCTAGTTCAGTACAGACGCAACACGATGCTAAGGCACATCTTAATGTACAAGAAAGACCGGCCAATGTTATAAATTACCGTAATTGATTATAGCATTGGTGTGGAGCAGAGGCGTAGCGGTGAGTTCACTGTGAACATGAGGTCGACTTCCGGTCACAGCCAACATCGATAGCGAGTGACATCTAAGCCAGTCCTGGGGTCACCCTTTTACTCACTGACGAACATGGTTGAGTATAATCACACAACCCCAATGGCCAAAAGGGCATTGGGGTGGTGGCCGTCATCCAGCAGTGGATTTCAAAAATACTGTGCATTTATATATATATATAACTATGATCATTTAGCCACTGCAAACATTCTGGCCCAGAAGTACGAGTATATTTGTTGAGCATCAGGCAATAGGGTCGGACAGTGATAACAGCCATGCCTCCGATTAGCACGTTTGGCTACGTACGGTGCGGAATAAGTCGACATTCATACGTGACACACAGCGAGAAGCAGCTGGGCTCGATTCCTGACAGAGGCGCATCTTTCTGAGTAGAGTTCTCCCCCAGTCTGCATGGGTTGGTATGTTCTCCCCCAGTCTGCATGGGTTTGTATGTTCTCCCCCAGTCTGCATGGGTTTGTATGTTCTCCCCCAGTCTGCATGGGTTTCCCCAAGGTCATCTGGTTCTCACCCTTCACTAAAAACTAAAACGCTGGTTTTGGCCAAACATTCCGAATCTAAAAAAAATTAGCTGCAAATCACTTAATTAAGATTACAAATAGCACCATTGCCCTCTACTTTAAAACATACTTTGCAGGACCCTCCTAAAAAAGAAGATAATCGGGACTCAGTGAGACTTTCCTGGATAAATATATGTAAGAATTATAATAAAATAATGCTTAGACTCGGTTCCTACTTGCGTGAATAACCATCCCGAGCTCGTCAGCAGCTGTCTCAAGCTGAGGAAAGTCTTTGGGAGACACCAAATGAATTCACTTCCCCGCAGGGATGGAGGAGAACTTCAGACGGTTTATTTAACTTCATGGTCGCACGGCGTTTTCATGAGGCACATTCTGATTTAATAACATAATTGCTTCCGACTCTCATTTAAAACCAAGCGCTGTGTTTACATCAAAATTAAACCGTTTTTTTTTGCAAAGGTACCTCCGCTCCAGAGCCGCATGGCAAAATGAAGAAGCGTTTACCAAATGCTGTGCCGATCCCAGTGGGGACATTTACATTACACTCTTTGGTTTTTCGGTAAAGTCACGTAGGTAAAAAAATCTAATAAAATAAATGAAAACCAACTAAATTAAATCACGACGTTGTGGGCACAACACAAGCGTCCTTCTTCAGGTGGGGACCACGTAGCGAAAGCACACCCGGTTTTCATTTATTTGATTTGATTTTTTACCTACGTGACTTTACCGAAAAACCAAAGAGTATGAATCCTTGCAGTCACGAAAGCTTCGAATCTAGACATTTACATTGTCAGGTTACGAGCTCATTTGGAATAAATGGTGGTTAGATTCCCTCTCTTCACTCTGTGTGGATCAGTGTTTGTGTTTGCCTCCCTACACCTTCAATAATTGACTGTTTGGTTCCATTTATAGACAAAGACTTAACACCCACCCCCTTATAGCCTTCACATACTGTTGAAGCAAGTGCGGTAGCGAGCACCTATTATGGCCTACACGATACACGAGGGGATGGGTGGCCAGCACCACGCCCGGCCACCTTTGTCTCCCCAAGCTGATGTTTACACCCTGCACCAGGTGCTCTTAAAGGCGGAGTTGACCTAGGGGAGGCCCCGTAACTGGTTCAGATGTTCGCCACTGATGTTGGCCGAAAACAGGAATCGAACTTGGGACGCCTATGTGATGTGTGAAAATAAACATAATGACCCTATTTGTCCTGACCTTTGGGCTATCCTCTATATATCGAGAGGTCAAAGTGAACGTGTCTCCAGGTGTGAACGGCACATGAAGTAGCGCTTATCTCTTTTGGTGGCCCTGAACCAATGGTGTAAAATTCTACATTCTCATGACAGGGACCCGTCTCTCTGTAGGAATTCTACCATTTGGACGGTGGAATATAACAGCTGAATAATGCGAATCACACTCCAAGCGCATTTATACCTCGAGAGCGAGAGATGCATATTCACTGCGTTTGCCTGTGGTGAGTCATTTAGAGAAGATGCACTGATGTGTTTGAGGAAGTGCTCATGTCAAGGTGACTGTGACTGAAGGGAAAGCTGTTGATTGAGCTCAAGAACCGCATAAATGTCTGGGGAAGGATTAATGCCACATCCAGTCTCTCAAAATGTAATCGTCGCCCAATTACCCATGTTCTTGATGTTTCGTAACTTGTATATATAAATAAAATTCTGTATGTTGAACTTATTTTGCATCGTACGTAGCCAACTGTGCTAATCGGAGGTGCGGGATGTACCGCGTGTTGTTTGGCATGACGTACACCCTGAAGACACATCAGAGAACCGCACAGCGCAACATTGAAAGCCCACGTAGAAGTAGCAGAAAGCAAGGCGCAGCCACCCACCACTGAGCCACGAGGCTGGTTGATTCACCAGCCAGGTGGTTCAGTGGGAGAGCAAGCAGCTCACGGTCGGAATATCGTGAGTTCAAATTCTGGCTATGGGAGGTTTACTCAACACATCAACTTTTCGGTTATGATCAAGTTAATATCATACTCTTTGGTTCTTTCGGTAAAGTCACGTAGGTATAAAATAAAATACCTACGTGACTTTACCGAAAGAATCAAAGAGTATGGATTCCTGCAGTCACGAAAGCTTCAAATCAAGTTAATATGACTTTGTGGGGAGGCCAAGAAGTGGTTGCCCTATGGAGAGACTCGCCCCTGTTATAACAGCAATGTAGAATTCCCACCACCGGTGAACAGGGGATGAAACAATAATACCCTCAATGGTCATTCGAGCAAAAGACATGTTGCGCTGTACGTTTCACCGATGTGTGTTCAGGGTGTACGTCATGCCAAACAGCACGCGGTACGTCCCGCACCTCCGTTGAGCGCGGTCGGCTACGTACGGTCCGAAAGAAGTTCAACGTATCTTCTTGGTTCTTTCGGTAAAGTCACGTAGAATGGAAATAATAAAATAATAAAAATAAAACAAAATAAAATAATTCTCACGACGTTTCGGCCACAACGCAAGCAGCCGTCCTCAGGTGAAGAACAGGTCTGTCAAGCAGCCGTCCTCAGGTGAAGAACAGGTCTGTCTTCTCGACAGACCTGTTCTTCACCTGAGGACGGCTGCTTGCGTTGTGGCCGAAACGTCGTGAGAATTATTTTACTATGTTTTATTTTTATTATTTTATTTTTTCCATTCTACGTGACTTTACCGAAATAACCAAGAAGATGAATCCCTGCAGTCACGAAAGCTTTAAATCGAAATACACGCATACATTGAGCTCATGGCACCGTTCCGCGGGAAAGAGTGCGTGGCAGCATCTCCGTTTCCTCTGAGACAGATGCCTCATGGGAAACGGGTGGCCACCGCCGCCACCACCGCTATTTTTAGCCACCCAGCAAAAAAACCGATCGCTGCCGGTGAGATGCACCGTCAACCCAGCAGCTTAGAATAATTGTCTAAGACGATGGGTTAAAAGGGACCCAGCTTCCACGTGGTTCAGACACGGAATGAAAGCAACTCGCCTGGAGGGCAATTGATTTTTTTTAAAGTGCTTTTTTTGTGTGTAGCTTGAGTGCAGCAGAAAATAATTACTGGAGGTTGCTAGGTTTTATACCCCCCCCCCGCCTTCTTTTTTTACTCTCCAGCACAGCTGGCCTGTGCGGGTCACTGACGTTTGCACGTATTCGTGTCATTAGACAATCATTTAAAGATAAATATGGGGGGGTGGGGAGGGGAGGAAAGACTGTGAGTACATTCTCAATCCAACTTGTTTTCCTTCTCCGTACATTTTGACTGTTACATCTTTTAGTTGGACGCCTTACACGTGCGTAGATTTCTATGCAATAATGCCATAGTTTATTGAACATTTAGACAATGCAGAATCAGAATATTTATTTATACTGGAGGAATCCGATGAGCTATAAAGTTATTTTTGGCAGATGTCCAGTAGGGGGCGGGTAAGAACGTTGCAACAACAAACTCTACAAAAACACGATAGCAGTGCAAAGTACAAGAAAGGTAAAAAAAAAATCACCCAAACACATGAAACTAAACTAACCCCATCCTACTGGGCAAAGCCCACTGAGGTATTAACTTATCTTTCAGAAGCAACCTGGCCACAAATGATAGCTCAACAAAGTGGCCCGTCATTTGGACATTTATAGCACCAAAATAATCTAAATGATCTCAATTGACTCCCAATTCACTCCCGATTGATTGTGTGACTCACGTCAGGACACACGAACAAAATGTCCACTTTGGATGTCTTGCAGGGCAGTGCAACCCTCTGCTTTAGAGAATGGCTCACATAAGTGGATACCACAGAGCTACCTCTGAGATCTCACCCATCAAGTGACCTCTGGTCCACACAGTTGGGAGCAGCACTTACTGGAACACAGCCTTGGAGGTGCAAAACTAGTGACGAACAACGCTGGTGGCAAGTTGTACCCTAAACCTAGCAGAGGAATCCCCTGGGCCAACGCGGCCTAAAATGAACAACAATGTAGTGCGTCAGCATCAGCACTGGGCATTCAAAGCTGACCGTGTGTATGCGTGGATTCATAGGGTGCTCATGTACAGCGCTTGCCCCATCAGTCTCTTCAGGCTATACGGGGCGGCGGGGGGATCTTTGGATGAAAGTTGTTCCTCCTGGCTTGGTGTGAACACCTTCTTCCTGTGCATTGTCCGTTGGCAGGAGAGAGCATCAACCCATCGGCGGTCGGGCTGGTGGGCAGGCAAGGGCAGCAGGACAAGATGCCCTTCATGGTGGCTTTCTTCAGGGCCAGCCAATTGCGTCTGCGCTCGGCTCGAGCGGTGGGGCGCAAGCGAAAGGGCAGCCGCAACAAGGGACGCCGAGGGCCCAAGCAGGACATTTCCCGGGCGTTTAAAATGACTGGTAAGGAAACTTTGAACTATTTATTTTTTATTTTACCAGGTGAGGCCCGTTGAGCTGCATAGCTCTTTTTCAGAAGCCACCTGGGCACAAATGATGGCAAAAACGAAGTGGCTTGTCACGTTGAAATTTCTAGCATGTGGAGGGAAAAAACAGAGGACCCGGATATAAATCCACACGACCACAGGGAGAGAGACATGCAAACTCCAAACATACATTCGGCAGGATCGGGATAGAACCCACGACCTCCTGCATACCAGGCTAAGGAATTAACATCTCGCCACCATGGCGCCTGGTTAATACCTCTTTCCCACTGCACAACCGAGCCAGCCTGGCACGGCTCAGGAGGTGCCAGGAGGGACTGAGCCCACCGAGCCATGCGGCTCACGAAAGCGCGTGGACTGATACCCGAGCGATGCTGGAATGGCCCTGGGCCATCGCTGGGCCACCGAGAGCATTTGGTCAGCGGTCATGGGAACGCAGCACCGGGAATCTTTAACAAAGGACATTTCACTAAGGGGTGGGTGGGGGGTGTGGTGGGGGGAGGGGTCAACGGTGTCAGCAGGGCCTTTCTCATTTCTGTTGCAGTGTTAATGGCCACAGTCAGTGCAATCCCTGTGTAATGATTTATGAAGCCGTGAATGAGGCCAGGCATGCATATTGCATGGCACGCTATCCTGTTCAGTTTTTTTTTTTTGCTAATTCAGGCCAATCGGTAACAACGAGGGAGTTTCGCAGGACGAATGGCCATGTCAACACGGTCGGCAGGCAAAGCCACGGATATGCCCGCAAATGCACGTTTTTGTTGCCCTTTCTTGAAATGAGCAGAGAGTATTTTCTTGGCTCGCTGTTAAACGCTTGTGCGCCACGTGACAACTTCATTTGTTTGTCTGTGTGGCCAGGTCTTTAATGTCTAATATTCATCATTGCCTCTGTTGGCTCATGATTGATTAACGTCATACCTTTATTTATAAACATGTAATGACACACGTTGGCATCGTACTCACGCGGCGATTTGAACCCAAACAAATGACAATTGTTACAATTAAAATATAAAAAATTATGGATCTTGACATTGATCGCGAAAGTATCCGTGTTAATTTGCCTCTTGTTTTCCTCCTCTCTCGACCGTAGATTACAACAGCAGTGAGCAGAAACAGACCTGCAAGATTCGCGAAATGTACGTCAGTTTCCGGGATCTAGGCTGGCTGGTGAGTTACACCGTTGCATTCTGTTCTTATAAGTAAGTGAGTTCAGATGGCGCAAGTAAAGACGTGAGGTATTATACATGAGTAAGTGCCCTCGGATGTAGTCGCATTTAGACGCTAGAGAAATGCAAATCCTAATGATCGATTTAATGTTTAATTGATAAGACCAATAATGTATCTTACCTAGCCAGTAAAGACTCATTGAGCCTCAAGAATATTTGTTTTGGAAAGGCGTCATGCGCTGGGCTGTTTGGCCAATTTCACCGGAGAGTGGAGAGTGCCCATGCATAAAGAGGGGGTGACGCTCAGCACCGCCACTTACTTGACACCTCGTTTATAGATTTGGTGGGATCAGCAGCATTTGGGAGGTCATATGGCCGTCGGCTGGATTGTGTAAACATCAGCATTGTGATTGTCGAGAAGGTCGATGGCGAGAACGTGTTTTTGCGGGCGCGCGTGGTACCTGCTGTGCATTATGCAGGTAGCACGCACTGAACAAACCCCATGGTGTGGCCTCGTTTAAAGGGACGGGTGCGTACAGAAACACGCACAATATGGTTGATGTTGAACCGCACCTCCGATTAGCACGGTTGGCTACGTACGGTGTGAAAGAAGTTCAACATACACACGAACGAACTTTAAACGAGCGTTAAGCTGCAATCCGCTCCAGCTCTCGTGCCTTGCGAACACGAGCGAGGGCTGCGACGCCCATCGCTGGACCGTACTCGTGCTCGCGCTTGGTGAGGTCCACTCCCGACGATTTTGCCAGCGGTTTGCAAATGAAATCGAACGATGGCGGGCGTTCGCCGAACTCGTGAACTTAATGGGAAAACAACCGCCGGTGTTAAATGTTGTGCCAACGATGTTGGACTTGTGTCTCAAGAATTTCCAATGGCGAGGAGGTTGATCCTTCGTCGTGAAGGTGGGGTGGGTGGGGGGTTAGTCGCCTCCAGCCCCTCGCCCCCCCCCCCAACAAAAAAAACAATGACACTTGCACCAAATATGCCTCTCGATGTCAGTCTTGCAAACGCCTCTCGTGTTGTCAAGGGGGATGCATTTTCAACCGTTCCGTGAATCAATTTGCAGGATTGGATCATTGCGCCGGGAGGCTACGCCGCCTACTACTGCGACGGCAACTGCAGCTTCCCGTACGGCGTGCATATGAATGCGACGAACCACGCCATCGTGCAAACCCTGGTGAGATGCTTGCGGACGGCGCGCGCGCGGGTACCGCGATCGTCTCAAGGAACAACGGCGCGTCTCTCTCGCCCGTTTTTTGTTTCCTCGATGTAACCGCACTGCGGACGCTGTCACATCGTCGACGACTTGAATTTTTTTAAAGCACGCTCGAACATTTCGACAAAGCTTGCCCGTCTGCGCTTCAGCCACGTAAATAAAGCGCCGCCGATGCAAAGGGAAACACTACAAAGAGCAGGATATTGTGTAAATATCAATCGCAGCTGTGTGCCTGCAATATAAGAATGACTCTTAACGCGTTAGCTCAGATGTTAGTAATTAACCACTGAGCAATCATTTCTTGTAAAAGTTTTTTTTTCTCTCTCTGCAGTTGTTGTAAATTTACCAGCCATTAGTATTCAGCTGATCGTGTGTCTTGTCATAACGTTATGAAGAATTTAGCCGAAGCATGTGTTTCTGATAACATCACAGACCCGTGATCTGTACCCACATTCAAATTAGGTCGATTTGAGTAGATGCCAAACCACTTTGTAACATCAAACGCACGTGGAATTGCAGCCTTGCTCATTTGTCAGCACCGTAGTTAGTGACTGGGCATACAGATGTAGCCCCTTGCCATCAGGCCCTAAGCAGCAGAACATTCCCAATATTTTTGTTGTTTGTTTAATTGCAATATCCATGGGGATGCTGCCCCGGTGAAATGCTTATCACAGTGGACGTTCAACCCAGGTCGGTTTCACTGGTGCAGTCTCCGAGTGCGGCAGTAAATACAATCCTCACGGCAATAGAAATGGGTGCACCACGGTTAGTCGATCGGCAGGTCGCGTACGGCTGGGGTAAAGTGCGGGTACGCACAGCTCTTCCAAGACTTCTGGGCAGCGTGGAAGCGTAGGGCACATTAAGGGTCCCCAACCCCCGGGCCAAGGACCGTTACCGGTCCGTGGCCTGTTTGGAACCGGGCCACACAGCAGCAGGAGGTGAGAGCGGTGAGTCCGCACGTGGCCCGCTCCCATTGTTTTATTATTCACCACTTCCATCCGCGCCTCTTTCTCGCGCTGTGCACTTGTCTCAGTCACAGTTTTGGTAAGCCCACAAGCTCTAACCCCTAGTAGCCAAAATGAGTAGAAAACAAACGTTGCTGGAGAGCTTCTTTGAAAAGGGGGAAAGACCCAATGATGAACCCCCCCGCCCCCGGTCCGTGAAAAAATTGTCTTCCACGAAACCGGTCCCTGGTGCCAAAAAGGTTGGGGACCGCTGCCCTAGAGCATCTCATAGTGGAGGCCATTCCTCCAGCAGTGGCATGAGCAAGCAAATGCAGGGCTGCACCTTTACCTTTCTTTTTAAATCCTTTATATTAAGTTCGCTTGCTTGCTTGCTTGCTTGCTTGCGTGCTTGCTTGCTTGCTTATGACCGTGCAAATATTTCGGTCGTTTTCTTACCCACTTCCCGTGATCCAATCGAGCTGACATTTTGCACACAGACTCGTTGTGCGAGACAATTAATGTTCGTGAAAAAATGTTTCAAAAATGTTACACTGTTTAGGGAAAACAAATTCAATATTTAATTACCAATTGCTTAATACTGGCAGACAATCATCTGACCCATAGGTGGCAGCCATCTCAAGCCAGAGGACGAGAGGACTCTAGCCGCCACGCATATAAAGGATTTATAGTGAAAAACTTTGTTTTTACGGGTTTACTTATTTAAAAATCTCGATTGCAGGTTCACCGAATGAAGCCCGAGGCCGTCCCCATGCCCTGCTGTGCCCCCACCAAGCTCAGCGCCATCTCCATCCTCTACTTCGACAACAACTCGAACGTGATCCTCAAGAAATACCGCAACATGGTGGTGCGCTCGTGCGGCTGCCACTGACCTCTGACCTCCGGGCGGTTCCCTCCCCGGCCGCTCACGTCGCAAGGACCGCGGTTTGAGCCATCGCGGTACGAGCCCAACGCTGCTGGCCCGTCGTCGAGATAAACTAAACTAAACTAAACCAAACAATTTTTTTTATCATTTTTTATTTTAGCAAGTAAGGCCCACCGAGCTTTTGAGCTCTTTTTCAGAATCAGAATACTTATTTATACTGGAGGGAATACGATGAGCTATAAAGCTCTTTGTTCACAGAGAGAGACAGGTCAGAACATCACAACGACAAACAATACAAAACACGATAGGAGTGCAAAGTATAGGAAAGGTAAACAAATCGCTTAGAAGAATATACAACTAAAGTAAACTATTTTTTTTATCTAAGCAGGTAAAGCCCACTGAGCTATGTAGCTCTATTTCAGACCCGGCCACACAACGAAGTGGCTCATCACGTGGAAATGTATCACAGCCAAATACTCAAAGCGCACATCGATTCTAAGTGTGGAGGGGAAAACTGAAGGACCCAGCGAAAAATCCACACGACCACGGGGAAAACACGCAAACTCCAAATATACATGCGTCGTCAGGGTCGGGATCGAACCCACGACCCCCTGCATACCAGGTGAGGTAGTTAACATCTCGCCACCGTGGCACCCGATAACTTCGTCCAAACAACGTCCCCAATTGAAATCACTGCCAGGTGAAAGCGCCTCGACATGTTGAGATTCAGTGTATGTGCCGCAAGGCACCATATAAACATTACAACTGTGTGTGGAACTGTGGGTTAAAAAAAAAACACTCAATTGACACCAGCACCTGCCCTTGAGAATGATGTTGAAGAGATTTTCATTTTATTTTTATACTTTGGTCATTCCCCATGGAAAATTACCTGGCGTTTTATGGAATCAGAACTGTTGAGTCGCGATGAAAACTGTCGCGCCGATGAGCACTCTGACCACAGGGGCATCTGGTGGCCCGTTAGAACAGCGTTGTGCGTGTTTAGTCCGTCGTAGGCCACTCTCTGACACATCTTCCCTCATATCAATACCGGGCAACAGTGACACAACTCAGAGTGCATTCCCTTCTGTGCCTTATGATGCAGCCATAGCTCACGGGAGCTTTCCGATCCAGTACGAGCACTTCCATGCTACAGAGTTCAATCGGGGAGGACAAAAATACTTCAGGATGAGATTTGAAAGTGTTATACGACTATTATGCATTTTTAGACGTATTATTATTTGTAAGCCCCATCTCCATACCAATGGTATAAAGTTTGGGGTAAATATGTTAGGACTGGGTTTGCCAATCTCCAGTACCCACCACAAACCACGGTGGGTCTTTCCACATTTTACCAATTTCCTCAGTTAAAATACAAAGGGGTTACGCACTTAAAGCAAATTAAGACACAGATCTTGTGTGTGCATATGTGTGCGTCACGCTGCAGTGTAGCAGTTAGCGCACTGGGCCCAGGCTTGATTCCCGCTCACAGCCAACATCAGTGACGATTACCTGAACCGGTTCTGGGCCTCCCCTAGGTCGACTTAGCCTTACATACGTACCTGGTGCGGTGTGTAAACATCAGCACTGGGGAGACAAAGGGTGCCGGGATTGGCGTTGACCACCCACCCATCTGTGTGTCCGTGCCGACCGTCATAGGTGCTTGCTTAGAGCACTTGCTTGCCCCAACGGTCTGTTCAATACGAAACGGGAGGGTCGTTGTCTTTGTCACGTGTGGCAGACGCTGAATCAAATTAATACGAACTCTTAATTTGAGTCGGCACTTTGTCACTCGGGACGCGTTTGCATGCTCCGACTTAACTAGTAATTCCAACACGAGAGAATGGGAACAGCACGGAGATATAACATGACGGGGTGAGAGGAAGTTGGATTGTAAAACCTTGTGTCATGGGATATGGAATGTGTGTCGTCCTGTACCCTTCATGTCTCATTGTAAATATTTGTTATTATCTATTATCATAAAGGTAGAAATCAATGAATTGGAAAACATTGAAAAGAACATGAATTGCGAGTTCGTGTTTGCGACGGTAACGGAATATTGGAGAAAAGTAAAATGAAACCACACAAAATTTCAGTGTAATAAATAATTAACTCCAGACCCTACTGCCCCAGCATAATAAATATTGTATGTCGATTCTCCCATTGATAGCGATAAGCTGTGTTGATAGTCCTATGACAGGTGGCAGTGTAAACATTTAAAATATAACCCGAGACACTTAAGTATCCATGACGCACGTTTAGTAGATTTTTTTTTACAATTAATCAATTAAAAACAAAAGAAGATCAGAAAAGGAGGGATAGGGTAAGGCTGATAATAAACAACGTATGTTGACGTAGATATGCTGAATGTGAGTGCAATTGTGTCATTGTAGAGGCACTTTTTCAGAAGGAGTCAATTGGAGATGGAGGCCAATTTTCTCAAACATATCTATTCACGTAGGAGGAGACCAGAGTTAGTAACGGGAGAAAGATCGACCCATAACCATTAATATAATTCTTCACTTTCCACAGGACATAAACCTACTTATTATTTGGTTCTTTCGATCAAGTCATGTTGATAGAAATAATAATAATAATAATAAAAATAGTGAATAAAAAAAAAATGAAAATCAAATAAAAATATTATTTTTATTTCAAAATTAAAATATATATGATTTTTATTTGTTTATTTTTATTAACTTTCTTTTTTATTCTATTTTTTTATATATACGTGGCTTTACCGAAAGAACCAAAGAATATGAATTCCTGCAGTCACGAAAGTTTTAAGTAAAAAAATAAACCTACTTGTTGTACTGCCCTGCAGGAAGCTGTCTCAAGTACGTGTTGTTCCATCTCTTTGTTCCATCTCTTTTGTGAACTATTAACGTAACCCCCAGTCACTGGTTTGAAGACGTGTTTTGTCGGTGTTGTTCTGGCACTGAAATATACGATATGTAACTGAATCCAGTAATTCATGATTGAGAATCCACGAGCAACTACTGTCTGTGCATGTGCGCGTATATGTGGAATGGTCATGCAAGCTTTTAGTGGGGAGCGGTAGTGCAGCGGTTAGTGCGCTGCGCTACGAACCTGGCGACCCGAGTTCGATTCCCGCTCACGGCCAACACCAGTGACGATTATCTAAACCGGTCCAGGGCCTCCCCTAGGTCGACTCAGCCTCAAATGAGTACCTGGTGAAATGTGTGAGCATTGCCACTAGGGAGACAAAGGCGGCCGGGCGTGGTGTTGGCCACCCACCCCCTCGTGTGCCGTGCTGGCCTTCATAGGTGCTCGCTAACAGAACTTGCCCCAACAGTCTGTTAAGGCTACACGGGGGATCTTTGTCTTTATGTGAGGGAATGGCCGTACAAGCTTTCAGAATCGAGGACCATCTTAATGTTAGGATTTGTTGTAGCTCTGTCTTGGTGTCCTGCGTTGTGCATTAAACACAGCACATTGTTATACGTAAACACAAGGTTATGCTAATTGCTTTGGTTATGCCATTGCTGGAGGAAGGACCTCCACTCGAGGGGGTTCTATAAACCCGTACTGCAGTCGCCTTCTGTCACGTGACGATCCACTCGGTGGCTTCCCGAGATGCCAAGTGGAGGCATGAAGCACCTCCTGTAGCTACAGACCCCAGTGTGGGCAGGTCGATGCAATGCACTCCTCGGTGTGGGAGTCATTGCCACGGTCGCACTTGGGGTTCCATCTCTCGCCGCACCTCTTCCGGAAGGAGTTCACCGTGCATAACACAGCTTCCACTCGTGAAGGTGGCTCTTGTTTGGGTTCGGTTTAAGTGCATGGTCTTCAAGGGAGGTCGATGCCATGAACTTCTGGTGCTAGGTCAGTGACGAGCCGTTAGTTCTATATGTCCCACGACCCCGTCCATATTGGGTTGGTGCAGGCAGCATGGGTATCGGCTGCTGTTTCCCGAAGAGCGCATTGGGCCAGACATTTAGGAAGTGCCCACGGTTTACACCACCTGCACAAGCGAGCTGCCGAACGACTAACTGTTGGGTGGACAAATGTGGAGAGGGATGCAATAAACTTCGACCGTCGTTTCAACTGTCTCTTAGAGTTCTCTCTTAGAGTTCTGATCGAAGCGGTGACCTCTGATTGCAAGTCCACCGTGCCAATCATCATTGTACAACGGAAGCATCCTGTTATAATTCACTGTATAAAAACACACACACATAGGCCTTCATGCATACTCACTCTTAGTATACCATTCTTAAAAATTGACGGGCCCTCGTGTTTATATATGTGCATCACGGCGATTATAAAAGTGTATATTAAAGCAATGGAAATGTATGTGCGTGTGTGTACATATACTGTTTATATTACACACAGGTTATTCGAGGCAATAATAACCTTTCGTTCACATCTGTATCTGTTAGCATATGCGTGCTGCCTAGGAGCGGGGCCAGTGTTTGGGCCATGTTGTTTGCTAAGCTGTAAACCTGTCACCAGGACGATTAAACACAAGCCTCGACATTGTTGCCAATTTTCAGAAAATTTCTCCAACACGCGATCATTGGGGCCCATATCACAGTACAACGACGCGTATCCGACTCACCGATGACCGAGGTATATACAGATATGTGAAGAGGGTCGGATATTTGAACATGTGTAGAAAATGATGGTTACACTGTGTGTGTGTGTGGTGGGCGGTTCATCGGTCAGGTTGGATAAAGCGACCTTGTACTGTGTTTGGCTTCTATGGGATTTACGTGATAGATTTTTTTCAATTTAAAATGTAGATTGATAATTGAGTATGAAAAATACAATAACAGGAGAACTCTTATTTAGCGGTCCTATTATACGAGACTCCTATTATCCACGGCACCTGTAGGGTACGAGAAAACCCCCAATATCAGTGGCCCTATTTCTTTCTGTTCTACGCAGTTTTACCCACAATGCACAGCAACGCAGTTTCCTAAAACTTGCGATTTATTCCGCGGATAAGTTGTGCGGCAGTTTAATCCTGATTATTCGCGGGGTTAACTACGATGACTTGTTTTATCCAGCGAATCTGAGGAGCAAAATCGCAGATCACCCCCAGAGATGCTATGACTCGCGCGATATTGGCCGCCCATATCACTGCGCATAAGAGGAGTTCTGTATTTCTCAAGCAGAGATCCAATTGTGTTGAACATTATTTGGTTTTTCCCGAATGTAACGTTAATGGCCTGAGGCACTTTTGTGAGAAGAACATTAACATCACGTTTGTGTATTCTAATGCGTGTTCATTCAAGGTTGTATTGTCTGTACTGTTTTAAGTTGTTGCTAATTACAAATTCACCTTCTTGGTTCTTTCGGTAAAGTCACGTAGAAGGGAAATAATAAAATAATAACAATTAAACATAATAAAATAAGATATATTATTATATTAAAATAATAAAAAGAAAACAATAAAATAATATATTATTTAATTATGGTTTTTTTCCCTTCTACGTGACTTTACCGAAAGAACCAAGAAGATGAATCCCTGCAGTCACGAAAGCTTTAAATCGAAATACAAATTCACCCTTTAAAAATGCTACATAATTGGTGAGAAATGTACAGAATACTGTACTCCATATGATTTCTTTCAAGAGTTGCCAAATGAAACACATTTATTAAAATATTTTTACTTTGTATTCAATAAAGGTTTTTCATTTTTTAAACTGTACACTTGCCCTATATAAATATATGTAATGGTCTGTTTTAGATTTAATATAACAAAAAGAGAGAAAATAACATTATATGCTGCTATAGTGTTCCTGTATGCTAG